GAAATTGCACATTATATTTTTTTCAGACACTCGTGACCAAGGATTTTGAAACGTGTATCAGTAATTAAACTTAATTTTCTGATGTGTTGCCATGAAGTAGTGTGATAGAACAATGGTGTTGAAGACAGAAGTCAAAATGACACAATTCCCTTCTCTCCCAAAGAAAATGGAACAATGGAAATGCAGTGCTCTTTCCTTAGTAATTTAGTAACAGTCTTCTTGTCTTAAATTTAGAAACTGGTGTTTTCTAGAGTAGTGTTTATTAAGTTTTCCCTACTGTGAGTTGCCCTGCACAGAATTCTCCAGGTTCTCAAGACTGGGTGGTGGTGAAGCGCTGAAGGTGACCCAGCCGACCAAGGGTCTCCCTTGGGGGAGCTCCTGGATCATCTGTTGCCACCTTTCAGCAAACAAGCACCCGCCCAACAGACCCGGCTTCCCAGCTTTCACAGCGCGGGACAAACATCGCAATGGTTATGTTGCTCTTGAGAATTCAGGTGGCAAAAGTCTTGATGGAGATAGAGTAATTGTTTACTGGATTCTCAACAGCAAAACTCTTGTCTCTTGGTATCAGTAATGCAGGGGAGTGTCCTGTGTCCCTGTTTCTCTTCATCATCTGTAAATATTCTGAGGTCTACAAGTAAAAAAAAAATAATAGATTTTAGTTATTAAACCCATATATTAGCAGTAAAAGACTGGTTTTTGCAATGTTGACTCTGTCTCCTTATGAAATGAGAAATCATTGTTTTTCAGTAGACTCATTGTGATTCTGATTAAAATATACTCTCTTGCAACTTGAATCTTGTTCAGCTAAATATATTTTTGAATTTTTAAAAAGACAGAGCATTTTGAATTTTGATTTTCTTTTGCAGAACTACTATCATGTCTTTTTGTTATCAGATCAAGGCTTACATGGCTCATTGCATCTATGCATAGCAAAAAAAGCGTATCTATAATTCCGGTGAAATTTTCTATAGTTCAGAATCAACATCTTTTTTGAAATGCACTCTGTAAAGACTTGTTTAAAATAAGTGGTTTTTTTCTTGAAAGCTAACCTTAGCATTGCCCTTGCCTTTATGACTTTGACTTGGAAATTAGCATTGCAGAGTTCAGAGATCACACTTTTCTCAAAAATGTTTTCCTAAGGTGCCATGACAGCTTCAACAATTGCTATTTTTGGACCATTTCATTTTAAATTAATCACTTGTGGAGTTTTCAGCAAGTGCATTTTACAAAGAAGACACTTCAGTCTTTTTTGTTTGTATATGAATGTAGACATATTTTTGTCTTTTTCTTTAAAGAAGTTGAAAGTCTCTCATATTTTTGGACTTGAGTAACATCTTGTGAATTTTATTGCATTTATCTGGATAGGTGCTGGCATTCAAGGAATCTTACCATTGGGTCTCAGGCTCTGAGTCTAAAAAAACCTTTTTGGAATGTTTTCTGCTTGCACTAGCTTTAATTTATTATTACAAATGATCACTTTGCCTTGTCCGGTTCTGTTTGGTATAGAAATTGGCACGACAGTTGAGGGTTCTGCTGGGATTTCAAAATTCAGTTGGCAATTTAACTTCAGTCTTCTGCACCTTACAGATCTAATAGCCAACTTGCCTTTTAGCTGCCTTCTGGAAGTGAGGCAGGGAGACTTAGCTTGAGAATCTGCTTTGAAAATGTTATTACTGGGGCTTTGTTATCACACATTACCAGTGACCGGTATGATAAACAGTATACAAAACCTGAATATCTCTCTGACACGGCAAACATTTTATATTTTGAATTGCTGAGGTTTTCCTTTTCAGGAGAGTCCAATACTAAGGTAGTGGCTTCCATAAAATTTATATCATCTGACTAGCATGTCTTTTTGATAGATTCCCCCTGACAAGACAGATTCAGGCTTGAAGGTTAAAGACGTTTTATCCTATAAGTATTAATTCTTGTTTACAAATAATGAAGTCTGTAATCATTTTCATCCTAATTTTTGGATCATAATTCCTGCAGTTGTGAAGTGTGGTGTATGAAAAATGACATGAATTTACTGGTCACCAGATTTTCAAAGCTCAGACTCAAAGGAAATATTGTTTTCCTGTAAAGCATTCACCTGGTTTGCTGCCTTGTTCTTGAGATAAGAAATTATAGTAATGGTTTTGCTTTTAGAAACACATTTGCCTAAGTAATAAATCTTTAAAAAGGGCAAAGGAATGATTGAATGAAATAATTTTGTTTATTAGACATTAAAAGTAGCAGCTAAAAAAACACATGGCAAGCTATACGAGATAATACCTTTATTATTCTTTTTTAGGACTAGAGCTGGCCACAAGATCTCCCAAAGGAATATGAACTGATAAATTTCTCACTTGTGATATGACAAATTACTTGAAAATCTGTTTTACTTGAATAGCCTTCACACTAGAAAGAGAGTGTTCATGTTAATATTTATTTGTCTGGGCTTTTGTCGTTAAAGTCATGCAGCTGAAATCATCGGAGTGTTCAAATGTGATAGCTGGCTTAAACTGCTGTTCAGGCTTTCAGGTACCAGGGGAATGGCTTCACTGCAAAATGTGAATAGAGCAGTAATGATCTTTCAGAATCAGATGATACAATTGTCAAGAAATCCCATTTTTCACTATTATTTATAATAAGCCAGAAAACAGTGCAACACATGGAGGTGAATTTTCTGATGTGTAGACCATGTACATAAATGTGATGCCAGGACCTGAGGACTGAGGAATATGGTGTGTCACTGTAGGAAAGCTTTCAAAAGAGGTAAAAAGAAGTATTTGAAGGTGAGAGAAAAAGAACAGAAAATGTCTTCCCATATGGTACCTGAGAGATTTGAAGCAGTCCAAACTTAAGAATCAATATTCAAAAATGCCATGTTGTTTTTCTAATTACTTTTTTTCTCTGACCTTTAAAGATTTAGGAAACTATTTAGGGCTGACTACATTCTCTAATCAGCTGACATAAAAATATAGCTAGGCTTGGAACTGTGTCATTGAAGCCTATGAAGTTTCATCTTATACTAAGCCAAAATTCTTCCTTCAGTGTCAGCCTGATCAAGTTCATGTGCATAAAAGAGGAAGAAGACGTATTTATAAAAATTCATAAAATAGAATATTTTGAGGTAGGAATACCTGTCTGAAACATTTTGTACACATCCAACAGCATGCAAAGGTAAATTGCCTCGTTCAAGAAATAATTCCATGTAAATGCTATGAGAAATGGTGCCACTGGAGTTTAATATTCATGAAAATTTAGACATGTAACATAGCAATGAAAATCTCTGCTCTAGACATGGTTGTAAAATCTCCACAGTTTTCACTGCTATGTAATCAATTTAGTGATGCATACACACATGAAGTTATGATATAATCAAGTAGGCTTTGTAAAATACATGATAATGTTATTCCTAATAGTAATAAAATAAAATAAAAGATACAAAAGTATATTCTTTAAAATTAAGAACTTAAGGAGAAATAAATTTTCTTCTTTATCTGAAATGCTTTTTTAAAAATATCATATTCATTGTCTTCAGAAAACTAAAGGAAATTAGGCACTATGGGAAGTACAGGAAGAAATCTAAATCTAGGGAGTGAAAGGGGAAATATCCTCCTCATTCTAATGTTATGCATTATTGTCCATTCATGAAGTTTTGTTGGTTTGATTTGTTTTATATTTGTGTGAATTCTGTAGATTTGTGTTATCTTTCTAAATTTAAGGTTTATAAAAGAATTATGTTGTTATGTCTGCTAAAAAATGGATGAGTAACTTAAATATTGGTTCTATAAGGAAGTGTTATGTGACATTTCTATTACATTGCTTGTGTGAACTGGACGCATAATACAACCGTCATGAAACTTGGAGAACATGCACATAACACCGCCCTCCCCCCCCCCGCCTCCCCGTTTCAGTATATTTTCCCCTTAAGCTAATTTGGTTATTTAAAGTTGCTTAAATCATGAACGTGTTTGTCTTTTCGTCTACAGATCTGCTTCATAATTTATTTAGTAATTCATTCTCACGGTGGGTGAAGTTCAAATGTAGCTTTCAGTCTGAAAACCAAGACTGACATTGGCTTGTGACTTGGCACAGAGAGTGCACAGTGTGGTAGGAAGTGCATGGCCAAGAGAAGCAGAGGGGGTTAGGAGTTAGGAGGTGGAGCTGGAAGGATACTCGGTGTGAAAGACAGCAGGGAATCTGGTATTGAAGGTGTTAAGAGGTGAGCAATAACATGGGACCTTAAAATAAGAAATGGAAATTAAATAGAAAGAAATGGATAGACAGCAAATGAAGGTATAAAGAAGAAGAAGAGAGACCGGAGTGGTAAGGAAAGAGCTTTAACACCAGGGAGAAAAATTAATTCTGTGAAGAGCTTAGCCACAAGGCAGAGTTTGAAACATTGGTAGTACACATTTAGGTAACTGAATATACTTTTACTGATAGCCAGCAGAATGGGTTGAAAGTCACTACAGCAGAAGTGATAGTTAAAGATAATAAAGTCAGAAGGCAAAGTTGAACACAAACTGCAGCTCCTAAGAGGAGCTTACAGTGCCACGTATTAGTCCCAAGGAGGGTTTTAAGCCTCCAGCACGGCCTGCAGCATGTACTCCATATATTGGATAATCTCAATGTGTGTTGCATTTACATTTTCTAGCCTTCATTTGTAAACTAATTTGGCAGGTAGGGAAAACTTAACATTAACTTAATAAAGCATTTGTTTTTCTATGTAAATGTTGCAGTAATGTATTTTTTGAAATGCAGGTTATTATCATACCCTTAATGTACTTCTATTACATTTCATGAGTCTTGGCTTAAATAAGTAAGTAGTAAAAGAAAATTACAAAAAAAGAAACTAAAAAGAATTAGAATGGTCTATTTTTTCTAGACAAACAGCAAAAAAATATAGTTCTCTTTTAAATGGTAGAACAATATTGATTGGCCTAGAGAACTGAAGAATAGGAAGAGAAAAATTATGAAGCTAAAAATGCCTATTGTTTTGTTCCTAGGTTCAGACATTGTTCAATGGTTAACGAAGAACTTATCTATAGAAGACCCAGGTAATTTCTCTTTCTTTCTTGTCTGAAAATTTTAGTTTGTCTTTTTGAATGATTGGACATGATTTTGTCTTCTGTTGCAGTGGGGGTGGCCAGGCAGCTTTTGACCAGTATAATTTCAATAGCAAAATAGAGAGCATCAAACTTTAAAAACCTTTACTAAGAATCTGAGGATTTTGGTTATTCATTTTATTGCAGCAGGTACCAGGAAACAAGCTGATGATCAAGAATGAAAATGATAGCCACTTTAATTAGTAGAAAATGAGTTTAAGTTCTACTCCATGAGAAATTTACTCAGTGTCATGCTAAATAGTTTTTTAAACACGTGCTGTCTTCTTAACACAATTTTTCAATATATAAAAAATAAATAGAATTAATAAAATACACTCTTGTACTGTTACTGAGAGCTGCATTTCTATTCTTAAATTTGGACACTTTTACATCATCTTAAACAGAAAGTGAACTGTAAATAAAATCAGTGCAGCGAGGAAGAACGGTTCATTGCTCAATCAGCTGATTTGGAATGTGGAAGTGTAACTTTGGTTCCAAACTCTGCCACAGGTTTCTTGTGTGGCCAGCAGCAAACACAGTTTGGTGTGTAACTGGTATTTATTTCCCTGATTTACAGGAATCTTGTTACATGATCTGAAATTTTCCGGAAAGGAATGATTTCTAGTAGAAATGGCAGAACTAAAATATTCTGTGGAAGTTCCTATTATATTTTGTTTAGGGGAAAGATAATCTTCCTTCTTTAAAGCATCATCAAAAATACTTAATTTTTCCTCTCTCCATTTCAGACTTTTGGGAATGGAATATTATTTTTTTTAATTTTAAAAAATGTGGTTTTCTGTCATATTAGAAATGAAAGTATGATCGTTGTGGAATTCCAGAAAAAAACAAAATCGCTGTGTTTCAAATTGTGACTTGAATGATGAGGAACATTATAATACATAATTTGATATTTGGAAGTAGCCAGTTCACAACTTATTGATATGTTGCATGAAAGAAATTGCTAATTGCTTCCAGTTTTATGTAACTTTACACAGAGTGTCATATGTTTGCTTCCTGAAGACAAAGTGGAGGTTGCAAGAGATGTATGTGTGATATTCTATTTTTCAGTTGTCAGGTACAAAGCACTCACCTGTCTATATTTATCAGAGTTTGAAAGATTACCATTCTATGTTTATTTGATATGGAAGCTTAACTTTTATTTGTCAAACCAGAACTGCAATACTGGGATAGGCTGTCATTCAGATTATCCGGTTGTTATGAAATCTGAAATAGAAGAAACCTTAAATTAAATTGAAAACATAGTGTCCTGTGCTGATATCCAATTAAAATTAAACAAACACACAAACTACTAACATTTGTAACCAGAACACCACAGTAATTTAATTTATGCTGGGTTTTACCCTTTTAGATTGCATGGGTGGAAAAAACTATCCACAATGACAAAAACGTCTTATGTGTGTCAGTCCTAGTCCAAAGTCAGCTATCTGGAGCTGGCTGGATGCAAATCTTCAGAAAGCCAATTGCCCTAAATGCTTCCCTTTGGTAGTGCTCAGAATTGCCAGACAGCAATGAACCTGACAGATGGTGAGCAAGAGCTATTCACATGACAAAACTTCTGAAAATATTGTTTTGTAAAATCAGTGTGTGACTTTTTGCTCCAGTTCTAGGCAAGGCAATCTAGAATTTCTAGGGAAAATGCCTAAATTTCTGTGAATTGTTGTCACCATAATTTGGATTTCCAGTATCTTCTGTCTACTTTTCACCAGTGTGTCAGGGGTGTACTATGACTGTCTTCCCCATAAAGTCCTGTTACAAAGCTCTTGTGAAGCTATGCAGTTTTGAGATGCAGAAATAAATAATGCTTGTGTCTGGACTGAAAGTTATCATCTCCGTCTAATTCTAATATCAGCAACATACCTGTAAGACCGACATAAAGTAGACCTTGGCTCACATATTTTAAGAGTATATACTACTCTGTCCAGAAAAAATTAAGGACTATTTGCATACCTCATCTACCAGCGTTGTGAACTACTCATGTGAGCAAGGCATGCAAATTGTGAATTAAGGGGTAAGTAGACAGTTAGATTCACAGAATCATAGAACAGCCCAGGTTGGAAGGAACCTTGAAAGATCATCTACTCCAACCTTTCGTGGGAAAGGGAGCCTAGATAAAAATATGTAGCACTCTGTGCACTTGCACCTTCACCATGTCCCTGGGGAGGTTATTCCAGAGATTGATTGTTCTCAGTGTAAAAAATTTCTTTCTTATACTGAGATGAAACCTCTCCTGGTGCAACTTGTACCCACTGTCCCTTGTCCTCTCCATGTGGCTCCTTGTGAAGAGCGAGCCTCCATCCTCTTCGCAGTCACCCTTTAAGTACTGGAAAACTGTGATGAGGTCCCCCCTGAGCCTTCTGTTCTCCAGGGTGAAAACATCTAACTCCTTCAATCAACTTGTTCTTTAGTAAAACAAATAACTAGTAAGAAGGAAGTGGCACTACCATACATTAAAAAAAAAAAAAAAGTCACATTTTGTAGTGCAATTTTTTCCTTTGTGGGAATGAAGAAGGCTGCTTTATGGATAGTGGGAGAACAAAAGGCAGAAGGCCTGGCAGCAACATTTGCTTTCACTGTGTTAATAAGTGTAAAGCTATTATCTGGAAACAGCAATTTCAAGTAAAAAATAGTTACAAGTATAAATTGCCAGTCAAAGAAACTCTGCACATTTTTCATAAATGGAAAATAATTTTCTGTGGAAGATTTGAAAGATTTTGGCTTGCTGCAGTAAATCTCCGTCAAGAAAATAAACTAGAGATGATGGGTGGATTCTGCTAAATTGTACCAGATTTGAAGTTATTTCAGTGGACCAGAGTAGCCCTTGTGCCTAGAATAGCTATGCGCAACATACAGTTGCTGTTATATTGTTTGCTTTTCAATATGTACTTAAAAACTGTTTGCGTTTCAGCCTACAGCTCATCTGTAAAATTTTAAGGAACAGAAATCATCTGAGTTATTTTTAATGTGGAAGTTTAATTCAGTCATAAAAATAAGCCTGATCTCAACCTGAAATGAAGCAATTAACTGAGTTTACAGAATTGTAAGGGCTTGCGGTTTGGCACTTAGACATGTGTTTGTTGAATTGACCATTACAGGGTAAGTGCTGACTCTTCACTGATGGTGCCAATTACTCTTAATGTGGAAAATCTACTCTGCTTTTCTACATTGTGTTTTTCTTTTTTAAAGTGATAATTAATGCCGTGAAATGTACCAGACTGACCACACTAGAGACTGAAGTCTTTTTAATCCTTAGGGGAAAAAACAGAACAAAATGGGTAGATGAGCTGATTTAAAGGTGTCAGCTGAAATTGCCAAAGGATTAATTCTGTACTTGGTTCTTGCACTGATTTCTTTTATGCCCTTTGGGCAGACACTTTATTTCCCTATTGCCTAGAATTCCAGCATGCTAATGGTAAATCATGCAGTTGTCTCTTTAAGGAGAAAACTCAGTGTCAGTTTTCAAGTATTTTCATAATGAAATGTGTGTTATACGCAAACACGCATTTCATCCTTAAGTCAACCCACAAAGAATTTCTATCTAGGTGGCTCAGAAAGAGCTGATAATATGTTTAGCCATCATCCCCTTGTTCCTTTACTGTACTTTTACTCCTGAATGTTGCTTATTTGATTTACTCATATCTGTAAAGCCAATTGAATTTGGCTGAAAGCATTTCATTATTGGATGGCTACCCTAGCAGAGCCACAGCACTGTGGTCACCTCCAGAATGTGCAGCTTTTGCGTTCGGATTGCCTTGGTCCAGCTCTTTTGGGCAGTCTGTGGAAGGAGTTTGCTGCTGCACTTGGACTAAAGCCAAATATATATGACTAAATCAAACTTTGTAAATTATAAAACAAGACTGTACCTTGAAATAGACACCTCCTGTGATTTTTCAGCTTCAGTTCTTGCCATTAATAGTCTTTTCATTTAACTGGTGTAGCTAATTTGTAACTGGATGCCCACCGGCAGCTGTGTAAACTGTGGTCACTGATCCAGTGCAATAAAAAAGGAGGACTCAGTAGCACAACATCTGTTTGTGTTTCTTCCACCTTTCCCTCCTTTGCTTCATAGTAAAATCTCTCTCCAGCAGCTGCTGTAGTAATAAGGACCATGATAATACACAGTACTTGCTCTAAAGACTTAGAAGAAAGATATGAGTTTTTTCATTTGATTTTATGAAACCGTACTTGAAAAACTGGTCAGCTCTGAGTTACTCCTGCCCCTTTCCCCATACATACGCAGTGAGGTAGCAGCAAAGAGCAGGAGCCAGATGAGATGTTCTAAATGATTGCCATTTGGGAGACGGCACCAGACAGCTGCAAGCAAAGAGAGGTTCTTCCAGAGTTTGCTAACGGAGATAAGAGCCTCTTATGAAAAGGAAGAAAGAAGGGAATGGAAAGGTCATGCTTATGTTTGCGGTCTTTGCATTAATCAAAACTTGTGGAAATACAGCAAGAGTAGAGTGCATCCCATGTATCAGCTTAACTAAAAAAAAAAAAAAGCTGATAATTTAGATGGCCTGCACATGTACCATAACTCTCATACTAGGAACCCAGAAATGCTGAGACACTCACTTTTTTCATATGTCTAACAGAACCTTGGGCACATTTTGTTCGATGACGCAAACCTCATGAACCTTTGTCAAGTCTAGTGTAAATAACTTTCTAACTTTCTTCTACTGGGTGAATTTGATCTGAGCTTGTCAGGTTCTGTAACATTTAAATGGAATAATCACATTAATTTCAGATGAACAGAAAGTAATACTCAAATCCTGCTTGGGAATAGAAAATATCCAAATTTACAGACATTGCTTCAGTACCAATAGTATTAATGTTGTGATACTCAAGCAAAATAAAGATGTATGAGTCAGTTTTCCTTTAGTTATGTGTAGCACTTCTCCACAAGCTTACCTGTGTGTGGCAATCAGTGGGCTTCT